GGTGTTCAGCCTTCTGAGTTCTTAGCTTCCACAACCATAACCTAGCTCTATCCAAGTCCCCCTAGACACCTCCAGCTTTAACATTCTGGCTGTGTGGTTGTTGTGTTTTTGGATACAGGCTCTCACTAGGTAGTTCTGGCAGGTCCTGGAACTCACTCTGTAGACCAGGCTGGCCTCAAACTCGAGAGCTTTGTCTTCCTCTGCTTCCCGAGTGCTGGGATTAAAGTGTGCCACCACTCCTGGCCTGGACTCTTGGTATTTCTAGTGACTGCATGAAAAGCAAGCAGGTGCACATAATTTTAATAATGCAATCTACTTAATCTGGAAGACCCAAATCATCATTTTAACATGTGAGCAACAGTAGAATTTTTAATGAGCTATTTTATATTATTTTCTACAGTAATTCTTCATTTTGTACAAAATGGACAAGCATCTTGGGCCTAGCGACATCACCCACATACCAGAGCCACGTGCGGCCAATGGCTACTGTACCACACAAATACACATTCTCCTCTCCGTAATTACTGCAGGAGCAAAGTGTCCTTAATGAAGCTTCACTTTGTACAATCATTATGAGGGATAGACAATGAATTATTACTTTGCCTCCCACTGATCTGCATTTCTAAATACATCATGAAGAATTTTATCATTTAATCTTCACCACTGCCCTGAGAAATTGGTCCCTACAGAGTTTTAGACAGGTCATAGACTGGTGTAAGAGTATCTCCCTCCCTCACTCCCTCCATCCCCCCCCCCACGCACACACACGCTTCATGTTGTTACTTTATGTACCACCAAGAATGAGAGTATATTTAAGTCCACATAAAGGACAGCCGCCAGGTTCCTGACTCGCTTGCCAGCTTTTGATCTTACAATGGCAACCAAAAATTTTTACTACAATAATCTACCCGCCTCTGTTTAAAAGGCTGGTATAAACATCAGGTGCTCCTTAAACCAGACTTAGCAGCACTTAGAGCCAGTTTCGTTACAAAAGGGGGCTGGTCCGGTCAGTGTTCAACTTGACCTCTGGGTATCCCCTCTGCATCCTGCTCCTAGGCTCTCTGGAAACCTGGGTCCTCTGAAGAGTGTGCACTTTCTGCCCACAGCTTGCTAACCAACTGATAAGAGAGATTAGACTTATCAACAAATATACGACTTACTTTAAACACCAAAACCAAAGAGACGCTTTCCTGAGACCTTAGAAACGGCTCAGGCAGCAGTTTACCTTAGGAAAACAAAAAGATTTGAGGAGAAGAAGGTAGGAGAAAATTCACTCGGCAGCCTCACCTTCCTCATGTGGACGAGACGCACCATTTGAAAAGTTAGACAACCATGTGTAAAGAGAGGTCTGCAGCAGAGGCTTGAGGACTTCCTGGACAGTAGAGCTCACGGAAGATCCCCGCTAAGTGAAGCTGTGTGACTGGGCGTGGGGAGGACAGCAGCCAGGTCCCAGGGTTCCACCAAACGGTGAGAAATAACGCATCAGTACCATGAGGTGGGACTGAGTTTGAGGCTGTGTACTGTACAATAACAGAACCTTGAAACTGCAGGAGAGCCTGATGGTGGTGATAGCACTCGGGAGGCGGTGCTCTCTGTAAGTTCAGGTCAGCTTGGTCTCTGCAGCAAGTTCCAGGACAGGCTCCGAAGCTACTGAGAAACCTTGTCTCAAAACCAGGAACCTTGTACTATCTGTGAGAATATTGGGATGGGGGCTTTGCCCTGCAACTTAATTTAAGTAGAGAAACAAGGATGTATCTTGTCAAATTTAAACTACAGCATTCAGTAACAGCCCTTTCTTCAATACTGAATTTCTGGAATTCTACTGTCAGACTCTGGTAGGGTTTAAAAAAAAAAAGAATCTTTCATGACTAGTTATATTCTTGCTTTAATTAACATTGTACCACAAACTTGCAAACGTTTATGTTAAAAAAAAAAACTAACAAGATAGTAAATACTGGGGGAAATAAAATTTCAATGAGTATTAGGGTAATTAAAAAACAACAAAGAAACAAACAAAGGTCACCTCAGCAGAGTCTTTAACTACACTTCCTATATTTGGACCACAAGGACGCATAGAGCCATTGAGGACTAGGCAGACCTGGGACAGTCTCATTACCCAAATTCTAGCTGCTCATTGCATGTATATCCTTGCATGCTTGCAGTGTGGTCAGGCACGTCCTTTTGCCCGTCTTTACCTTGGGCCTGTCACCTGCTTTGACTCGTGAAATGTGGCATACATGCGTATCTATCCTTAGGACCCAGTTATACTCTTGTTCTTAGAAGGGATGGTTTGCCTTCAGTGGCTCAAGGTGTGTAGGACCAGGAAGATGAGTAAAGCAGCATCCCAGCTGACCCAGCAAGCAAAGCCACACTGCCTGTTGCACAACCCTGAGGCTGAGAGTCTACCCAGCAACAGCTGGCGAGCAAATGCTAACTTCTGAGAAACACACTCAGTACACTAGAGAAACACAGTCTTCATGCATGTGCAAGCTGCAACTCAACAAGGAAAAAGATGGCTAGGCGGCACAGAATATAAATACTCTATACTGACATCACAAAATGTTGTCCTTGAGCCGGGCGGTGGTGGCGCACACCTTTAAACCCAGCACTCGGGAGGCAGAGGCAGGCGGATCTCTGTGAGTTTGAGGCCAGCCTGGTCTAGAAGAGCTAGATCCAGGACAGGAACCAAAAAGCTACAGAGAAACCCTGTCTCAGAAAAAAAAAAGGAAACAAAAACAAAATTTTGTCCTTGCAGTCTAAGATTTTATTTCTAAAGATTGTTATTTGATATTACTTTTCCTATAATTTAACCTTGACTTGGATTTCTTCACCTGCATTTTATTCTCCATTCAAACTGGAGTCTTCAAAACTCTGAGTATGTCTGCCACTACCTCCAGCCTTTTCTCATCTAGTTCTCTCCTGAACTCTTATCCGGCAAGTTTAGATTCTTCCAGGCCAGGTTTGCATGCCACTTCTGCAAAGAATTCATCCTGATTCTGCCTTTAAAGTTAAGACAGTCCATGCCTGAGTCTTACCATGACAGGTATCTTCTGATATTTGACTTATTTTGCCTCACAACACTTCCCTATCCTCTCACAAAGTAGAAGACAGCAAGATCTGTGGGATATTTACCTCTGTAATCTCCATGATGCTTAGCAAAAGGCCTTAAACAGTAGACAGCGATGGGAAGCAGCCATACACTAGGGAAAGGCAAGGGATGAAGAGGTGACCCAGGGCCCCAGGATGCAGATGCTGATGCTGAATAGCCAGGAGGCTTTGAAGCAGTCAGCTTTTTGTGATTCAGCCTCTACATATGCAAATTGAGACAGCACATATTTCACAGGATTGTTGTGAAAATTCAACACGAAAATGAACGCAAATGCCTCCCGGTGTTGACATATGGTGGCAGCTCCATCTGAGGTAGCTCCCTTACAAAACTGATCATGACAGACCATCACACAGAGGCTAGTTTAAACAAATCCTGATGGTGGATCATTTTCTCTTAGCAGTTAAGGGTTACAATAATGACTCCAGTTACAATTAGCTGCTTTCCCACTATCTGCAGTTCCAGTGAGCTGGTGTCTGGCTCTGTTAAGATGCTCAAATATCCATTACTCCCTTACATTTCTAAATCCTCCAGATAGTCACCACAAGAGGCAAATTTGTCACAGGAACAGAACTTCTCATTCATGAGAATACATTTTAATAGAACAGTAGAAATTCCAGCTCCAGAACAATCATTACAATGGCTCAAATTCCAGGGCTGGGAGACGGCTCAGTCAGTTTAGAGCTTGCTTTATATGACAAAGACCTGAGTCTGCTCCCCAGAACTCATACAAAGAGGCCAGTGTAATCCCAACACTGGAGAGATGGAGTTGAGCCGGGTCCCTGTGTCTGGTTCAGTCAAAGAGATCCTGTCTCAAAAAAAAACAAGGTAGACTATGTTTGGGGATAAATAATCCAAGGTTGTCCTCTGAATTATACACACATACTCATCTGCATGCTTGTGTGTGTGCGTGCGTGCGTACACACACACACACACACACACACACACACACACACACAACTGTTGTCCAAGTGACAGCATCATTTGAGAATGACTGGGGGATGAGACATTTCTCAGTGAGAGTCCTTTTCCAGCAAGAGATTTTATAAATAAAAGAACTGTTTTTATTTATATTTTCAGTCAGTAGATATTACTATTGAAGTCATTTAGCAAAAGCTGTTAAAGATGCCCTGTACTAGCTTGAATTGTATATAAGTATTCACATTCCATCAGAGCAAAAATTGATTTTTCAAAAGACAAACCCAAGGTCAAGAAGCTCAAAAATCCAGTAAGTGACCTAGGCTTGGTGCCTATGGACGGGGAAGAGTCTGTGGGTCCAGAGTCTACAGGCTACTGAAGCAGCGGCAAACACCACCCTACTCCACTGGTCCCCCCAAGGAATGAAGACCCAGACTCCCAGAGCTTCTGGAAGCTGAGTTTCTATGTGGAGCATATTCACTTTTAAAGGCTGCTTTTTTGGGGGGAGAGGGGGAAGAGAAGAGGCCACGAAACTGTGATTTGTGTGACTTTTGTACTAGGAACACAATAACTACTCTTCGTTATATGTTTTAATATGGATTCACGCTATTAACCCTATAACACTCCCACATTCTCATTTACAAGCCTCCACTCACTCCACTCCCAGCTTGTATTTTCAAGTTGTCACCCACCAGAACACACACGGCACTGCCTGATGGAAACTGACTAAACCTCTTCAGTTCTTTAGGTTGAATGTGAACTCTTGTATAAACACCTCTGTGATCCTCCCTCCCCGAGCCTCCCTAAGTCCACATGATATAAACCGACAATAGGAAAAAAAGATCCGTGTTGATTTCACTCAAGTCTCGCCACCACTCTGACCCGGCGGAAGACAAGGATCAGTCAGGTTACTCACTGCCACCAACGTGAAAGGCCTGGGACAGCCAGGCCAAGAGCAAAGTGTGTGAGCACTCACCGCCAAACACATCTCCGTTCTGGTAGTTCTTCCCTTTCTGAGCCTCCTCTTCATTTTGAACAGTAGCAACATGCTTGGCAGAGGCACAGCCCATAGTCTCATTCGGTCAGCTTCAGCCGGGCTGAACTGCAAATCATCTCTACAGACACGGGGACATTTTTCTTCTTCTCTCTTTAAACACAAAGGAAATCCACTTCGTCGTTGCGTTGGTCACAGTGCGTGCACCTGCAAGCAGAGAAAGCTGGATGAGAAGGGGAGACTCCATGCCTGGGATTGTTCCATGCTGGGTGGGGGATTGCACAGCCCAATTCCACACTTGGTATAGTGTGGCCATCCCCTCTCAGTCCCTGCTCAGAAACAACCTAGGAAGGCCTGCCACACACAACGCATGTTGGGAAGGAGCAATTTCAAAGAGATGTAGAATGTCTATATTTTTCAAGGAAATGAGAACCACCGACTGGGCACCCACGGGCTTATAGACTTGCTGATGTTCTGAAACCTCAAAATGTCTAGAATAAAATGTCTAGAATAAATAGAACACTAGGAAGAGCCACAGTGCAACTCTCTGCCATCCCTCCCTGCAGGCCAGGGCTCAAAAGTTTTCTTGGTTTCAGGAGACCATTTTCCTCCTCAGACTGAAACATAGACTAGGTTATTCATCTAGACTAGGCTACACATCTGGAATAGGCTATGCATCATCTGGAGTAGACTACAGGCCTGGAGTAAGCTCTGCATCCGGAGTAGGCTCTGCATCTGGAGTAGGCTCTGCATCTGGAGTAGGCTACACATCCGGAGTAAGCTACGCATCCGGAGTAAGCTACGCATCCGGAGTAGGATACGCATCCGCACTAGGCTACGCATCTGGCTACGCATCTAGACTAGGCTACGCGTCCGGAGTAGGCTACGCATCCGGAGTAGGCTACACATCCGGAGTAGGCTACACATCCGGAGTAGGCTACGCATCCGGAGTAGGCTACACATCCGGAGTAGGCTACGCATCTGGACTAGGCTATACTTCGGGACTAGGCTACGCGTCCGGCCTAGGCTATGCATCCGGAGTAGGCTACACATCCGGACTACGCTACGCTTCTGGACTAGGGTACGCATCCTGACTAGACTATGCATCCGGAGTAGGCTACGCATCTGGAGTAGGCTATGCATTTGGAGTCTACTAGAGTTGAGAATTAGGTTTCCCTGTGTTCGCTTTTGGCTTAGCTCTCACTGTTTTAAGGACTGAGGAGAAAACGTAAGGAGAGAGAGAAAAACACCGCTCAGTTAGTTGTCTAATTCCAGGCTTGGCCTCTGTGTGCCAACTGGTCTCTCGTAAAGGCATAAGGACTGTTAATGAATAGGTCACTCAGAGCTAATCCCCGTTCTATTAGAGTGAGATGCCCTTCCCTGCAACACTGATCGAGCTGCCCCGGATTCTCAGGGTTTGCTGTGCCCAGTGTGCTCTGATATTTTCATTTTGTTTTGTTCTTTCTGCATTTCCATCAGTCTTACCCAGCCCTTCCAGTGCTGGAAACGAGGGGCTACAATCTCGAAGCTGTCTGTTGAAATCCCCCCTTCCACACCCCTTACCAACATAACCCTGACCTCTCGAGCCCTTGGCAGCACCAACACAGCACCGTTCTTCTTTCAACTCCCACCAACACCCACATCCCACCATTTCTGCTACGAACAATTGAGCCTGTCAAGTCTCCCAGATGGTGTTACCAAAGCACAGTGCAAGCCTCACTTTTCAGCAAAACTGCTGGACCCTAGGCCCTTCCTTAGAATGCAAAGGACATCAATAGAAATCACATCATTTAAGCCATAAAACCTCAGCAAAGAGCATTTTCTCAACATCCTGATTAATTTAATAAATGAAATTAAATGTAAATATAATGATCATGCAAATAATGACTGCAATAAATACTACAGTGATAATATATACATATATATGACAATAAATACTATGACATATGTTATCTGTATATAATCCCTCAGATAAGTCTCTTATTAAGGACCATGAGAAGAAAGTATAAGGCTGCTTACAGAAATATTACAAATCATGACACTCTGATTCTTAGAGAGTTGATGCTCACACCTCCTTCACACACCATTTTCATCTAAGGCTAGATGAGATCTAGGTCTATGGGTGTACGTACTAATACACATGCACAGGAGCTATTTTAAACTTAGCAGTTCTGCCTTTGAAACAACTATACGCCTCAGGATCCTGACAGTGACGTGCTTCTGACAATAAAAAAGGATATACACACACAGTAAGGGATGTGGTAGAACGCAGAATCCAAAAGCGGTCAAATTCTGACTGGGTGGGGGCAGCGACTAGACAGAGGAAGTGAGATTTCTGTGCCGTCACAAGGCGCGGTAGAAACTGACCAGTCTGAGAACACAGCGACGGCATACAGATGTGGGGAGCAGATGAACAGGAACTGAGCTGGGGAAAGACAGAGCAGGCCTGTGCACTTGCTCCAGAGGGGTCAAGGCAGGAAGAGGCTGCAGGGCTGATGCTTTGTGAAGAGCCTCAAGAAGGTGGGGCTGACCAACTCCATCCAGCTTAACACAGCTGGAATCGTCATCGCAGGAGGGCTTCTTGTGAGACTGTTAGACTACTAACACGGTTACCCACTCTGCCTACCTCATCCAGTTTCTGAAGAATCAGCACTGAAACAAGAGATGGGACTGGTCTCTACAGGTAGGAGAGAGCAGGTGAGAAACCCTCCCTGGCTCATAGCAGCTGGAGTTCTAGCTGCCCACGCTGCATGGTTTCCGGTTTCTGTCAGCCCTTTCTCAGGCCGGCATCTCCTCCATCCTCAGCTCGCCAGCAAAGGGGAAGGTCACAGGTGGGGAGGGAAGCCCCTTCCTTTCCAAATAGGAAGTCTACAAGCCATCTGCCTCACACAGGCACAGGGAGACAAACCACTCAGACAGGAACCTGTCCTTGCCTCTTGTCACCTCTTCAGAACCGACGAAGTGAAAACAGGAGAAAGAAATGGAAAGGAATTAGGCCAATCACCCAGGAGTCCTGAGAACTGAGAGACAACACCCTACCCTTCCCCATTCAACTCAGTTTGTTTTGTTTTCCAGTCTAAGTTCACATTTGAAATTTCATGCTTCTTATGTAGAGACTGAAGCCACACGCCTGCCCACGTGGGTGAAAGCAGAACAGAGCTAACCCTGCATATGCTATGCTTGTCCTTAGATACATATCCGTGACAATTATTTTACAAATTAGACACTTGAGAGAGTGTTAGTGACTAGCAACAAAACAGAACCATTGTGCGGCACTAAAACACGCGTGAACGTATTATTCTCCTGGGAATGAGTCAGGAACATTAGAACCTTCAATGATTTCAAGTCACTGAAACCAATGGAAGCTGTAACCAGAGGCACGGAGAGATTCAGATCAGAATCTGACAGGAACGAACCTTCTGACCCAGAGAAGCATTTCATGACGCTCCTCATTCGTAAAAGCTGGGCTTCAATTAAAGTTTTACTTGGGTGTAAAAAGTTAGTGATATGGAAAAGAACATGTTGCTTCAGGCTAACAAAGATGAGACAACTTAAGACAATGTAAGATGCTTCTTAAAAGAATGTCTCTGTTATTCAATACTGGAGTGAGGGTCAGGTTAATAGGTACGAGCACAATCTGTATCCAATTCACACGATTCCATAGGAAGTTTCAGTTTAATTACTTATATATTTAGCATACATTATATCATGTAATATCACAGAGAGGGGGGAGAGAGAGCAAAAGGGAAAGGGGAAGGGGAGGGGGAAGAAGTGAGGGAGAAAGGGCGAGAAACCGTGAACTCCTGGGCTTAAGAGATCTTCATTTCAGTCTCTCATGTGGCTGGGACTATGGGCATGCACCGCCACATCCAGCTCATCATGTTTTGATAAACGGCCACTCAGTAAGCACTCCCTCGCCAGCATCAGCGTAGAGTTTATTTTTTAAATATATTATATAGCTTGTAGCATTAATTTGATTTTAAAAGTGACACTTTCAAGGTTTACAGCTATTTTATTAAGATCACTCCGTTGGTGGTGATGGAATCATTTGAGGGGCAGATCTCCAATTCCTAGCCCAGATCACCGAGGAAAAGTTCTGACTATGTCATAAGCGCTTGTCCAATCATTCAATCATTTAATTAGTGGCTGTTAATCAAAAACTCCTTCGTAATACACCGTGATTGGTAGGCACCAAGCACACAGTTGTAGGCAAGATGAGATACGATTTTCCCCTCTGCCCCCATAGGATACAAATGATCACTGAAACCGGTAATTAGACCAGTTTTGCAGCATTGTGGTCCAGCTACTGCAGATTAAGTACAGAGCCAACAGGGAGTTTACCACAAGGGCACCTGGCTCCACTTTGAGCAAGGGAGCCTAGAGAGGTGCTGGGGTTGAGAGCAGACCACAACTAAGGAGTCATCATCAAATCACCTTTGAACTGCATAATCTTTCATCCTAGCATGTCATGTCAAGATTTCATCTCCACTTACAATTCTCTCACTCAACTTGAATTCAACTTAAGACTTCCTTCTGCACAAACTTGCAGAAATGTCTCCCCGGAAGACTGCCAGAATCACCTGCTCGCGAAAACTCCCCTTCGGTTTGTCCCCTTCCCAGAAACACTGGCTTCCTTTCAGCTTCCCTGTCTCCTTTAGCTTGCTGGGGTTCTTCCCCAACCCCCGCCTGGCCTACTCATTTACGCCTCTGAGGCAAGGCTCAGGGTGCACACGCCTGCAGAGCCCACATTTCCACCTCTCGCTATTAACAGCACGCTACTGCTTGAAGTTGCACATCACAGGGTGGGAGCTGAACTGAAGCATCTCTTTGAAGTCTGATGGACATTTCTAACACTGACTCACAGGCTGGTTTGTTTTCAAGCTAAAGAATCTATGAGACAGGCCCATCAGACAGCCCAGAAAACAGAGCCAAAATAACTGCTTATGGCTTTGTGTGTAATTCTCCTCAGATGACTGGAGCCGACATAACATGCGCAATGTCCTCACAACGTGAAAACCACAATACCACGGACTAACCTAATCCAACGTCATCTTTAGAGGCCATTTCCCCATTTTTTTTTATAAAATGCATCATCAAATCTATAAACCTAATTCAATTTTTTATGAAGGACTTTAAAGATGTGTGACCGTGTGTGTGCATCCCTTCCCTGTCTTTCCACGCCTCATGCAACATCCTAAGGAGCATGA